TGTTTACCCTAGACAAAGCAGAATCAGTTTACTGTCGGATATTTGTCGCTCGCGCCTCGCATTTTAATCAATGTTTCATCAACCAATTGCCTGGATTTAATAAATAAGAAGTAAATATAGCAGACAATATAATCAGTGACAGAGGCTGGTAGCAGAGAAATCAATTCTGTGAATTACACTGCGCAAATCACAAGTAGGCTACTACCCACCGGATGAAGAAGGGTTGGCTCTCAGTCTCCACAGGCTACATAAAATATTCATTTTATTTTATTTTATTTTATTTTTCGTGTTCGCATTTATGAGGAAAAAACAATGTTACAGACGCGACAGTTCAGCACTACAGACGTGAGCGCTCTGAAAGCGGCACTAAAATATGCTTTGAAACTTTCACATAGACATCAAACAGAAAGCACAAAACCTTTCGTTCCAAAGTGAATTTCGTTTTGTATTAATTGTATCTTAATTTTAATCAATGTTTCATCAACCAATTGCCTGGATTTAATAAATAAGAAGTAAATATAGCAGACGATAGATAATCTCGACACGGAGGCGCCTGCGGGTGAACTGGAGCTCGTCTCATGAACCGAAACTCAACGTATAGACCTGAGAATTAAAATATATCTATATTGAAATGTCTACTTTTAAACAGAACAATTCAAAACGAAAGACAGACAGACTAATGTAATCGTATGAAATGTGCATTTCTCTCTGGCGCGCGTTCACTGAAGATCGCGAGTCAGCATCATCAACTTCATCTTTGGCTGACACTGACTGAAAACACTTGTTTATTAATAAACAATTAAAATGTCTCCTTGCTATATTTGTTGTATTCATAATCATTACTTTTGCCAGTTCTTTGTGACAGCTTTTATCTGCTTTATTGGCAGCGCCACCCTTACATGAATCACCGCACCCGCATTTTTTAAAATATTAATTTATCGGCCATTATAAATGCCGATACCGATAGTTAGGAAAATGCCTAATATCGGCTGAAAATATCGGCCCGTCGATATATCGGTCGGGCTCTAATTGATGCTCATGGCTTTGCGAACCTAACGTACATCGGCATCCAAACACGGCGAATACAACGCGTTCGTGCAGCTTACCGTAACTTGCATAAACGGAGATTACAATCGAGCTGCTATTAGCTCGATTAGCTGCTATTTAAAAAATGGCGGTCACAAGTTTCTATTCGTCTTTTTGGTCACGGTAACCCTGCCCCCAGCCGCTGACGTAAGCGGTTCTTACTTCTAGACCAGCAATGATTTGGTGCTACTTAAGAACCACTTTTACTGGTTCGGAGCTGGTGCTTTGGTGGTCGAAAAACAAAGAACCGATTTGAAACTAGGCTCTGGCTCCGAACCAGCACCAGCTCTGCCTTGGTGGAAAAGGGGTATTAGAGCAGCGCATATCCTGGGCATTCAGAATCTGGGAGCGCATAAGCTTTCTCGAGACAAAACTCCCCTAGGCGAGTGTTTTCGGCGAGGCCGAGGTCGACCTTTTTGCCTCGAGAGACCACACTCACTGCGCAGTGTTCTTTTCGAAGAACAGGCATGCGCTGGCCCATCCCTGGCCTAGTCGTCCCTTGTATGCGTTTCCCTCCGTTTCCATGATCCCCCAGGTCATCAAACGGGTCAGGGAACTGGGATGCCCAGTCCTTCTAGTGGCCCCCCTCTGGAAGTCCAGACCGTGGTTTCCAGAACTGGTTCTGATGGTGGACAAAGTCCTATGGCCTGTCCCACTGAGGAGAGATCTCCTCACACAGGCGAACGGGACGATCTGGCACCCTTGTCCCGACTTATGGGCTCTACATGTGTGGCCCCTCAATGGGTACCCAGGAACCTCCCTGTGAAGGTCCTAAAAAAGATCATGGAGAGGTCCCAAGATCTTTGGCATACGCCTCGGTGAGTCAGGTTTGCCCTATAGGCACTAGGGCCCATTCGACTAGAGGCATGGCCTCGTCATGGGCATGGTCGTCTGGGTTTCCTATTCAGGACATTTGTGCGTCGGCCGGTTGGTCCTCGCCCTCCACGTGTGGAGGTTCTATAATATGGAGGTCCCTTCCCTGCAGGCGACGGTCTTTTCTGTATGATTAGACTCGAAGAGGTCCGGTCTCATCTATGTGTCAGTTCATAAGCACACTATCCCTTACTAAGAACCAGCTTCTGGCTGTTTTGGTCCCTATAGTATATATAATCAGACCCGACGGTGTCCGGTCTATTGGTATATTATTTTGGAGTGTGAGCTTAGTGATATCACTATATATATATGATTCAGACCCGACGGTGTCCGGTCTTATCAGTGTGTGTGTGTGTGTGTATGTATATATATATATATATATATACAGTGTAAATATATATATATATATATATATATATATATATATGTATATGTATGTGTAAATATATGAATTCTGGCTTGTTTCTGGCTAGGGGTCCTGGGCTTCAGTTGCAGCCTGTTACTTATGGTGCGGCGTTTTACATTGGGTCCCCACTGCACAGTGATGGAGTACTCGAGTCCTGGACTCGGACTCGAGTCCTTATTCTCTGGACTCGAGTCCGACTCGAGACTCCATTCTCTGGACTCGTGACTCGACTCGGACTCGCGGACTGATGACTATACTTGGACTCGGACTCGAGAATATATAAAATCGGACTTGAGCATTCATCAAATGAATGGCATTGTTTCTGACTAAATAGGTTATAAAAAATTGATATAAGATGTTACACTTTTCCTGTTTCGGGGTCCAAGACCAACCGTGATCTATTTTTTCCCCCACAGACACTGCTACCGCTCGCTCTCCTCGCTTGACAACACACTCACTGACGTCACTCACTTTACGCCGCATTCTCGTGAGAGAGTTAACGTAACACTCATTTAACACTAGATAAGTTCCTCTACATCTAATCAGCAATTTCGATTTTGGCACGCTTTGCAGCAGCTGAGCTGACCACTAAGGAGCGAATGTACAGTGACGTGACATTAAAAGGTACCAGATTTAAACTGTGCTTTCGTGCTATGGCTGGCGCTGAGCCAAAATCAGACGCGCTCAGCGCTTAATCCCGCTTATCATACAATAACACAATTATGTTTATTTTAGCTAACAAACTAGACGGCGACCTTGACTATGTCACACATCGCAACCACTCTTTTCCTGCGGAGTTACAACTGCTTATAGCACTGCATTTTCTGTTTTTTTGCCAGTTACATTGGGATTTAGTTTACTTTTCAAAATTTCAAAATTGTTTTTCTTTTACCATATTCGTCAAGAAGAATGCATTTCTCCTCCTCTGTCCAATTAGGCTTTCTTTTTTGTTTTCTTTATCCATTCCAGTTGACTGATCATCCAAAAATGTATTTAAACAATTAAATAAATAATCGTGCCACAGCGAGTTGACAATGATTTGAACTAAGGTCAAAGGCAATTCTAGTGATATCATACACATTTCTAGCTGCAAGAAAGAGTGCCTGAAAAATGTTGTTTGATTTGGCTTAAGTGTATATAATTTCGACTCGAACACGGGACTCGAGACTCGACTCGGACTTGAACTCAGGTAATGGTGACTCGACTCGGACTCGACTCGGACTCTTCTTTGGTGACTCGGACTTGGACTCGGACTCGAACACTGGGACTCGAGACTCGACTCGGACTCGACAGTTGGTGACTCGACTACAACACTGCCACTGCATATAGCTACGCAATACGAAGTGACCGCTCTCAAAAGGGAACGTACTTGGTTACTAATGTAACCTCGGTTCCCTGAGAGTAGGGAATGAGTATTGCGTAGCCTGACGCACTATAATAACATGGCAAGTTTGTCGCTTCAGTCGATTTAAACCTACTATAATGGCGAATTCGGGCTCCTTTTATAGGCGCAGCCACGCCCATTTCGGCGGTCTCTGACGTGTGTTGGCGCGCTGATAGCTGATTGGCCATCGTCTTCGCCATTGGATGTGCAGTTGCTGCAGCGCAGCCAATGAGTGAGCCAGTCACTCACTGTGCTCGCTCTGCAGTTGCAATGCGTTTTGCATATAAGCTTTAAATCTGAGGAAAAGAGTTTCTCCACTGCGTATAGCTACGCAATACTCATTCCCTACTCTCAGGGAACCGAGGTTACGTTAGTAACCGAGTACGTTTTTATGCATGTTTGGCCTGGGATTTTGTTGCATTTACACTGTTCTGACCACTTAGGGTCACCGTTGAGATGGGTGTCGGATTGTTTTGAAGCCTCGACACAATACGGCACATTTGCTTCAACTGTTTCAGTGTTCTACGAAGCCTCGATCTACCCACCACTAGAAACAAAGCAGAAAATCAAAACCATAACACATGAAAACCAGGGACAGCGCACTCAGAAATGCAGTGAAAAACACAGGGCTTATATAGGAAGAGCTTAACAGGATAATGATACACAGCTGGAAGTTGTCAAACAATAAGGAGTCCAGGCAATGGGTGATGGGAATTGAAGTTCATGATGGGAAAGCAAGGGAGTCTGGTGAAAATCATGGCCACTCCAGCTGGTGGATGCAACAACCTCGTAGCTGGTTGAGTTGGTTCATTTGCTTATAACGCTTTAACAAAGACCTTTTTTTAGATGGTCTTTTGAAGAATCTCAATTGGAGGGATTTTCTTAGCAAATATAAATACATCTTATTGATTGATTGATTGATTGATTGATCAGCATGCCGTTAATGAATCGTTTTTGACCCACTGACAGCACTATTATAAAGTCTTTCTGTAGTTGTGGTTGTTGCAAACATTCATCAGCCAGCCAATAGTGACAGATTCAGTTCCACGATGGCTGACTTCAGCATAACTGCCATTAAGAGCTCAGACAGGCATGTGTGAACACGTGATCATGAAGCAGTGATTCACTGCAGAACCACGACATGCATTTGCTTCTGAGAGCTTTCACTCTGTTAATTGTGATGGGCTTGTGTGTCATTTTGAAAGGACGACGATGCTCCATTTATAGTTTTGACCTTTCATTGTTTTGCAGCAAGGGATGAACAAGGACACGTTTATAAATGCCGTCACTGCTACGGCGTACCAGGGGGTAAAAAACATGAACGGAAACTGAGCGATGTGCAGGTGAGTTTTATTTTATTTTAGTGCTTTGATTCTGACACCTTTTTATACTCTTTCTTTAATTTGATTTTTCAATTTCGGTTTTGCAGTCGAGGTCTCCTGGAAGCCACAGAGAGAGTAGCTGGATTTGGGAAAAGTTTCCAGCCAAAGTGTATTGCAAGGCTTAATGGGTATAGATTTAAAGGGAAAGACGCCACACCATGTCTCTCCAAACCCAAATGATATTCTTCCATGGAACTAGAGGGCCAGAAAAGCAGAAAGATCCATAAAATTATCAAAAACGTGTCCGTATGACTCGTGGGCTGCATTCCAGGTGCTTTGTGTGAGGAACAGACTGAAAGTTAAAGGGATAGTTCACCCAAAAATGAAAATTCTCTCATCTTTTACTCAACCTTATGATGTTTCAAACATATTTGACTTACTTTATTTTGTTGAAAACAAAAGAAGATATTTTGAAGAATGTTTGAAACCAAACAGTTTTGGTTTCCATTGTATTTGTTTGTCCATAAAATGGAAGTCAATAGGAACCAAAACCACAGAAAAAAAGAAAGTGGTGAGTAAATGAATGAACTATCCAACGCTATCTCATGAACATTTCTTACGAGCGAGTAAAAGGTAACTAATTCTTACGAATTCGAACGACCTCACTCACTGGTAGGACGGGTAGGTTTAGAGGCGGGGTCAGGGGTAAGTCATTCGTACGAATTCATACGCATTGGGCAACTCGTAAAATATGTACGATTCAGCAAAAATAGGACGAATTCATGCGAGTGAGGTCGTATGAATTCGTACTAATTAGTCACCTCGTAAAATTGTAACAAATTGCCGTTAGATCGGGTTGAACTATCCCTTTAAATGAAGCAGTTCACTAAACATTCATTTATGAATTGGACTGATCTGGAGTTTAGCTTGAGTTATATGGACAGTTTTCTATCATTTTTGAGCTTGACATCCCCAAATTGTTTAATTAATCTCCCATTCCATAATAAAAAAGAGTGGATGATGTTTCATCTTGTCGCTCTCTGCACTGCTAGTACAGGCCTGTTTAGTGCCTGATACACAGATGTGCACTTTTACCATGGGAAACAGCTCTTACACTTACACTTACACGGCTTGACAAACTTGCACTACTGGTCCTGCAGAGTAATGATTCCACTCTTCTTCTTATGCTGCTTTCCTTCTCCTCCTCTGTTGTGTATATATATATATATATATATAAATGCTGGGCATATTGGTAAAGGAAGCAATATTTTAATGCAATATTTTACAACATAATACAGTACACACTGGTTAAATCTTTAGCATTTTTGTGCAATGATGCCTGAATAGTTATCAGATTCGAAATATGCTTTTATATTGCAGTTAAAACCTTCTGAAAAATTGTTTCACTTTTTTTATCTTCTTCTTGACATCCTATAAGTTGTTCTGAGGTAGGGTTAGGAATTATATGGAAGCTTGTTGCCGCCATGGAATAACATTTTTTAAAAGATAATTGTGACTTTTTATCTCACAATTCTGATTTTAGAAGAACTTAATTTTTAGAGATTTAAGAGACTTTATATCACACAATTATGAGGAAAAAATGAAGAATTATGAGATTAAAAGTCGCAATCGCCTTTTTAATTTATTTCATGGTAGACACAAGCTTCCATAGTATGAAAACTAGCACGTAAAAAAATAAAAATAATTTCACTTCCCAACGAAACATGACCAACCATCAATGTTGAAATGTGGTTGAAATGAAGTCAGATGTTGTTTTAATAAAAAAAAAAAAAAAACTGTTTTACACTGTGTCCTAACCTATGGAAGCTTGTTTCCACCACAGAATAAAACATTTTAAAAGATAATTGCGACATTTTATCTCACAATGGCGATTTACATTTCGCAATTCTGAGAAATAAAGTCAGAATTACGAGATATAAACTCACAATTGCGAGATATGAAGTCCGATTCTAAGGAAAAATAGTTTATATCTCACAATTCTGACTCTATAACACGCAATTGTGAGTTTATATCATGCGATTCGGACTTTATATCTCCCAATTGCGTTATAAAGTTGCGATTCTGAGAAAAAAAAAGTCAGAATTGCGAGTTTATTTCTTGCAATTGCGAGTTTATATCTCGCAATTCTGACTTTATAACTTGCAATTGCAACTATATATAACGCAGTTATATATAAAAAATATATATATATATATTCTGTGGCGGAAACAAGCTTCCATATACTAACCAGACGCGACGCGGCAACATGATAAAATGTATTTTCCATGTTAATCAGAGTTTTTTCCTATCAAGCCGATGCGTGACAATTCTATTTTAGTTTATATTTCTGTGACGTCGCGGCTGGAACAACAAACATACAAAGTATGACAGTGATAATCTCAGGTACTCATTTTGTACTTTACATACTTAGTATGTAATTTTAATTATGTTAAAATGATGTAATGTTTTTGAATTTTATTATGTATCTCATCTCCATTGCGTTGCGAGAGAGACTCCGCCCACACGCTCTTCTGATTGGCTGTGATTTCTGATTGATTGTGTCGCCGCGTCTGGTGTGGACGGATAATACACGGTGTAACACCTAACTTTCAACATTGAAATTTTAACAAGATATAATTGCATATTGCAATATCAACGCTGATTCGATTTGCAAAAAACAAATGAAATTCAAGAGCGAATTGAATCATCCGTAAATAAACGTTGAAATGCTGGCTAGTTTGGAATTGAACAAACTTCTGGTTCCACAGCACTAAAACCCTAGAATCACCTTAAACTTTGAAGATGTCATCACAATCATCACACATTTAATTTCTGTTGTTTCTGTTTAACATGGTTAATCACAAATAATTCATGTGTAAATACTAGTGCTGGGCAAGTTAACGCGTTATTATCGCGTTAACGCATTTATTAATTAATGCCGACAATTTTTTTATCGCGCGTTAACGCAGAGGTTTTTTTTATTATTATTTTGAAAGTCCGTTGCTCACTGCCTCTGAATACACATAGGCCTACAGTCAAACCATGATCACAGGAGGGGTGGGATGTTGGTCAGCCAGCAAATAACCCACCCAAACAAGCAGTGGAGAGGCTTTGGCAGGTTCTCTCAGGTGAACAGAAAGGGAGACAGCGCCCCGCGAGTGAATGACAGGCGCTCTATGGATAGTAACCATGGCAACGGCTTCTGTGCGCTACGCAGCGGTAGCCTTTTTAACTTAAATTAAAATGATACATAACTTTACCTGATAGGCCTGCGTTTAGTTTAGCGGGGATGCTCTGCAATGTGAATTCCCTTCTGTTGATGTCCTGATAACTATTTAGATTCTGGAAACTCACAAACAGCGAGCCGAGGATCAGTCTCTCTTCCAATGATTTGTGCTGCGCGTCGTGTACAAAAAAGTTAGACAATTCAACTTCGGCAACGCGCGGGCGCGTGCGTGAGGCGAGCATGACTGCAACAGTTTCACAGGAACGCACCCGCTTGTCGCTGCACCTGTGCTCGACCACTTCACCTCACTCTTTTCGGCTGATTTATAATTCTGTGTCGGACTTACGCCGGAGCCTCTACGCTATAGACAACGCGTTGGTTTTCATTTATATATCTGCGTCGTTGTCCGCGTTGACGCGCAATTACACATGAGGGAGAGTGTGAAACCCGGGGAGCGGTTCTAGCAATCACAGCGCTTGCGGTACGCGTAGAATTGACGTTACATTTTTGGAGAGATGCATGTCAGGGTACGCGCGCTACACAGCTACGGCGTGAGTTCGACGCAGAAGTATAAATTGGGCTTTACCTCTGTTTAATGTAATCTTACGTGGGAAATGGCATGCCATGACCAAACCTAAGCTGCTATCAGAGAAGTAACGTTGGTCGACTTATATCTGTAGTAGTGATCATGACCCTTTGACTACATAGACTGTTTCTGCTGCTCCCTGATACAAGATACCTGTTCAGAAAAAAAGAAAACTGGACTCGTTTTAACAAGCTAGATAAAAGGTAATGCCCTGGCAGTGGCAAATAGCTTTGTTTAAATATTTGATTTGATTACATTAATGTTTAAGTTGAGATTTACAAGAAATATTTTATTGATACTGTGTAAAGGGAATACTGCTGGTATAAAAGCACCTTATTTGTTTAAAGTTTTTGCAAACCACATGTTATTGCACTTTTGTAGCAGTACATTTAAATCAAAAGTGCGCAATACACTACTAGAATTCATTATTCAATTTTGCGCGTAACAATGCGATTAATCGCGATTAATCGCAAGAAAATCATGCGATTAATCGCGATTTAATTTTTTAATCGTTGCCCAGCACTAGTAAATACAAATGAAAAAGACTCAGCACAGTTTAGTGGTATACTGCATATGCTGCTTTAGATGTGACGTACAGCATGTGTACTACCTTGGCATTGTAAAGATAACACTGGACTTTTGGGTATTTTAGGAGAGGTAATGCTAGATGCATTCAATTTGAATGGGATTGAACGGGAATTGGTTGCTCTATTTTGAAATCTGAAATGATATTGTAGTAAATAAATGCAAGATGCATTGTTTTCTAGATGTATTTTGATTCCATACCTTTTTAAAGCCTAACTTGCCTTTTTTTTTTTGTTTGTTTGCTATTTGCTTAATGTGTGTGATTTATTGTATTTTGTGAATATTATTTTTATTTGACTTTAGTTTGGCTGGATTGTGATTTTCTCAATCTGTTTCACAGAACAGACAAACAGAAAGTGGACTTTTAGGATATTTTTGTAATAAAAATGGCTGTGTAAAATGACATTTTGTATCTGCATGACCAAAAATGTACATTTTTTATCTTGCATAAAACCTGTATTTCTGAAATAAAAGTGCGTTTTATGTTAAGGTATGTTTCCTTTTTTTTTTCTTTTGTAACATCCTTTTACAGTATGTTACACAAAAATTAGCTGAAATCATGACATTTATAGTTTGGTAATAAATTGTCAGTTATTTACAGTACAAGCAAATCCTGTCAAAGGAATTATGGGTAACATTTTATAATATGTATACAGTAATATTTTGCAAACTATTCGTTAATAGTTCATTCATAGTTAATATATTATAGTCTCTACATTGTTAATATATTAATACACAAATAGTGAGTTTATTCATTGTCACTGTAATTAACTATTATTATTGTTTAATTAGCTCATATGTAAAGAGTTAGATCATGTTTTTTATGCTTTGCTTTGTTAATTCTCACCACTGCTGACCTGGA